TATAGGTATATACAGTTGTCCCGCTATTAAAACATATTCGAGTAATGCGTTTAGTGCATCAAAATGTTTATATACCAAAATTCAATTAGTGCATAAAAATATTCTGCAATTTAACGATAGTAATTGAAAATTGACTTTTTTTTATAGTTGCCGATTATTTAAAAAATTTCTAAAATTTAAAAATGGGTAACTGTTTTGTTTGTCAAGTTATATAAATAATTACAGTAGTGTTCAAAAAATGAATGGATATAAATAAATAAATTTTATAATATAAGCCGATAATAAAAATAAGTATTTGAATATGTTTTATTAAAAAAAATTAATATTTTGATTTTTTTGCATGTTTATTTTGAAGGTCTTAAAAGGAAATTTCTGATTTTTCGAAAAAAAATGGACGATTTAATTAGATACAGAAATGGACATTTATTAAAAAATACTGAAATATAAAAGATGTCTGCATTTATTTTAGAAAGATTATTAATAACATTTTCAGGTTAAATTACTAATGATTATGATATGTTTGGAAAATGTGAAAGAGCAATTTCTCAGAACTGCCAATTCTATGAAGAACACAAGAATACCATAAAGCAAATGACTCAAAATAAGTTTTTCAATAACTCAGATTAATAAACATTTAATTCCTTGCAGTTTTATTCTTCTTATATGTACTTATATTTTAATTAAAAAGTATGCAAATTAGAAATTAATTATGAATAATTCTAAAATGTGACGTACAAATTATATCATTTCCTGTAAATTATTATATTCGATTAATCCGTTATCGATTAGTGCGTATCTTTTAATGTACACATTAGCCGCACTAATCGAGAGATTCCTATATATATATATATATATATATATATATATATATATATATATATATATATATATATATATATATATATATATATATATATATATCGAGTGTAACAACAAAATTGTCCAAATCATGTAACAGCACAATTGTCCGATTTTAGATTAAGCTCTGAACCATTCTATATTAGAATTGATTAAAGATATCTTACTGGAATTTTCCGAGGTTTTTATAACATTATTGGACTCTAATTTGAGCAATAAGCATGTATGTTTACTCTCCAAGCTTAACAGAAAAACCGAGATGAAATCGATCATAAACGAACATAACATGTTCATCATTAATTAATCATAGCTAAGGATCGGAAACTCATAAATACATATATATATATATATATATATATATATATATATATATATATTATTCCATTTTCCAAATTATTCGAGATGATCTTCACCCTCTGTAATCTTCTTTCTGTCCTGGAGTAACAAGGTGACTCACAGGTTTCATTTAAGATTTCATTTTAATTCTTTTTTCACTGCTCTTTGGACTGTCATAGCTGAAACTCCTCTCTCACGAGCCAAACGTCTTATGGATTGAGTTGGATCTTTTCTAATTGATCTCTTTAGCTTTAAGTTGAAATGATCATCCCTATTCCTGTTGTGACCTCCTGATCCATTTTTCCTCTCTACTGTTTTCACTTTTTTAAATTTATTCAACATTCTCTTGATTGCTCTTGAACGGATTTGAAGATGGAAGCCAGAGTATGAATGTTGGTACCATTTCTGAAGGCCTGAATGATCTTTTTCTTCTCAACATTCCTCATTTGGGAAGATATATTGGGGTTGACAGAAAACGATTTTAAGCTGTTCGCTTTCTAGTTAAATGAATCAAAGGGTTTTTCAGCGATTCATATGCGGAGGAACGACATTACGTAACAGTTCAAGAATACTTTCTTTGTATCTTTGTTTCTAAAGAAATTTTCCTATTTTTGATATTATGCTTAACTTTTGAAAGGCATCATTCGCCAATTCAACTTCAGATTTCTATATTTCGTCACTGGATTTCGATTTCGCACACTTTGCCCTCTATGAACATTCTTCCTAAATATTTAAATTTTTTAGCGTTTCACCCCAAGCAAGGTGACAATGCCACTAGAACTCGAGGTGATTACAGGGAATGAAAATGAAAGTGAAAGTGAAAGTGAAAACTGAGTATAGGGAGGATTCAAAAACGAGAAAAGAAAAAATCTTTAAATTTTAAAAATTTTAGATGAACATTTCATTCATAAATTAGCTTGTTATACTAAAGGAAAGTTTTACAAATAGATGCCAATTTGTTGAAGGACAAGTAAAATGCAAATTTCAAACACTTTTCAACACTATATAAGACGATATTCCTAAACAGAACTATTTTTTATATGAAAATCAAAACAATCTTCACTTAAAAGAACAGTAATGAATGACAGTTAATTAATGAAATATATTTTTAAAAATCAATATGCAAATTAGTTACACCTGAAAAGTGATATTGCCTAGAAGTAAATAATATATAACACAGATATTAATTGATTTTAAACTCTGTGTCTCTTTCCTGTGAGTGTCAGATTTTACAAGCCTTCTTTATCTATCTATCTAACTCAGTCTGTTCAGATCTATCTATCTATCAGTCTGTCTATCTATCTATCTATCTCAGCCTGTTCAGATCTATCTATCTATCTATCTATCTATCTAACTCAGTCTGTTCAGATCTATCTATCTATCTCAGCCTGTTCAGATCTATGTATGTATCTATCTCAGTCTGTTCAGATCTATCTATCTATCTATCTATCTATCTATCTATCTATCTATCACAGCTTATTCACATCTCTCTCTCTCTCTCTATATATATATATATATATATATATATATATATATATATATCAATCTGTTCAGATCTATCTATCTATCTATCTGTGGTGCCTTGATATGTTTCTTCTTTTCGAAGAATCTTTCTACTCACTGATTAGACTGTATCATACATTCTTCCATATCCTACCGCTCTAAGAAAATCTAAACATTCGCCCACCCACTGCCTGACATCGCAATTAACTCATTTCGATAAATAAAATGAAAAAAAAAAAGCAGAAAAAGAAAACGTATTGTTTATCGCCATCAATGTTTAAAATACAAACCAAAAATAAATGAAAACCTGTTTTTGTTTCTCTTTAGAAAATTTGAAAACTTGACTGAAGTCTCATTGTAGTCATGGCAATGGTGATAAATCCTAATTGCAGGGATTAATATTAATTCATAAATAACCTAATATATAAATTAATGAACACGGTTCTTTTAAAAAAAGTAATCATCTATTGTGTTCATATCAATCTATCTACATACCTATCTATCTATTCTTTTCATATCTATCTGTCTATCTACTCTGTCCATGTCTATCTATTTTGGTTTTTCGTATCTATCTATCTATCTATCTATCACTGTTTTTCACATCTATCAATCACAGTCATTTTCACATCTATCTATCTATCTCTCTGTCTATCGATCTATCTTGGTTTTTTCAATTTTATCACAGTTTAACATATCTATATATTCTGTCCATATCTATCTATTTTGGTTTTTCACATCTATCTATCTTTGTTTTCATATCGATCTCTCTCTCTCTCTCTCTCTCTCTCTATATATATATATATATATATATATATATATATATATATATATATATATATCATTTTTTCACATCTATCTATCTATCTCTTTCTCTCCATCCATCTGTCTGTCTATCTATTCTGTCCATATTTATCTATCTTGGTTTTTCAGTCTGTGTGTATTTTGAAGTCCCATAAAATTGTTACAGGTGCTATTTTCGTAATCGGGTCTGGCGGGGGGTGGAGTCCATAGCAATTATTATTATTATTTCCTTGGATTTGTGTTGTCAACACATTACTTTCCAGGCCCCAATCAGAGACCTAAGGTTAGAAATGACTGATTATTTTTTAAAAACCCTAAAAATCTAAGGTAACACACATTTTACACAGGTGAAGCTCTTCGTAATATAGTGATTTTCTAAGCATAGCTTGGATGTGGCACAAAGCCGAAAGTATGGGGCACCCAGTAAGGATCGTACTCACTACTCGGTCGTAATTGTTTTAACGAGACAAGCTTGCCTACCATTACACCACCTCGAGGTGCGCAAGCACTTCGTAATATATGAACTGTACCTGTGAGTAAAACTTGTATTTTCTTTACCAGAAATCCCTTCAATGAGTCTATCGGAACATTTTCCAATCAATCCGAGGGCTCCAAATACAAATGGAATTATTAATGTCTTCATTTGCCACATTTTCGATATTCTTGTATTTTGATCGTATTTTGAAAATCTTCAAATATATATAATCTACAGGATCTGCCATCTTTTTTGTGGTCTTTGATCACGATATTTGGACGATTAGATTTGATTGTTCTGACCGTGTGTATTGTAAAATACTATATATATATATATATATATATAATTTTAAAATTTTAAAAATTAAAATTTAAAAACTGTCCTATCTCCTATAACCGGGTCTGGGTGGTGTTCATACCAATTTCTTGCAGTTTCATTTCCATTAAAGTTGAATATTTTCCTGTGCAGATATTGGGCCACTCTTTCATGTCGAGTTTTATATTCAGTGGGTGCTAACACCGTGTAACCTGATACAAGATAGTTGTTTCTGGATAATTATCACAGAATCTGCATTTGGGGTCAACACAATTTTTAAGTATGTGTTTTCTTGGTAATTTCTTGTAAAGAAACATTGCTCCTGTGAAGCAAGAATAAAACCTTCTGTTTCATCTTTTAATCCTGCAGTTGCGTAAACACTGATAGATACGGGGTTTGCCTTGATCAACTTGTTTGGTACGGACAAAGTATTGACCATGAAGAGGATTATCTAACCATCATTTCTGAATTTGGTACACCCACTTGAAGTTATTATTATTATTATTATTATTATTGTTGTTGTTGTTGTTTTTGTTAGCCAAAGAGAAGAAAAGAAAAGAAAAACTATCATAGTCTTATCATTTTCTAAGTTGATAATTTCTGCATATAGTTTAGGGTAATTTTAACGTAAGACTGCAAGAACATCGTAAAGCAGTAACAGGGGGAAACAGAAAAATCAGGCATAGCTGACCACATAGGGTGGGAAAAATGAGTTTGGTTTGGTTTGTTTTGCGGCATATCAACGTCAATTACTGCTGTTTTTTGTTAGCCAAAGAGAAGAAAAGAAAAACTATCAGGAATAATATTAAAATCATAATTTAACTTCTTTCATAACTGCTGCAGCTTTTATCTCCTATTAGCAGTAGAACCCGGCGTTGCCCGGGGATGTAACAATGAGAGATAGATCAAGTATCGGCCATCATAAAGACTGAAAAATAAAATTGACAAAGATTATTGTTTAAGGTTGACGGACACGCATGTCTTAATTAGTTTTTTTTTTTACGGATTTGTCAAACCCAAACTCAAACAAAAACATTGTTTTCAATCGTTATGAGTCTACCGATTGAATAGAATCTTATTATAAACAATTGTCTTGTAAATGGAATTTTTAAAGCATTCTGAATGTAAAAATAAAGAAAAAAGTGTGCAAGACTTTCAAAATGATTATTATTATTATTATTATTATTGTTGTTGTTGTTGTTTTTGTTAGCCAAAGAGAAGAAAAGAAAAGAAAAACTATCATAGTCTTATCATTTTCTTAGTTGATAATTTCTGCATATAGTTTAGGGTAATTTTAACGTAAGACTGCAAGAACATCGTAAAGCAGTAACAGGGGGAAACAGAAAAATCAGGCATAGCTGACCACATAGGGTGGGAAAAATGAGTTTGGTTTGGTTTGTTTTGCGGCATATCAACGTCAATTACTGCTGTTTTTTGTTAGCCAAAGAGAAGAAAAGAAAGAAACTATCAGGAATAATATTAAAATCATAATTTAACTTCTTTCATAACTGCTGCAGCTTTTATCTCCTATTAGCAGTAGAACCCGGCGTTGCCCGGGGATGTAACAGTAAGAGATAGATCAAGTATCGGCCATCATAAAGACTGAAAAATAAAATTGACAAAGATTATTGTTTAAGGTTGACGGACACGCATGTCTTAATTAGTTTTTTTTTTTACGGATTTGTCAAACCCAAACTCAAACAAAAACATTGTTTTCAATCGTTATGAGTCTACCGATTGAATAGAATCTTATTATAAACAATTGTCTTGTAAATGGAATTTTTAAAGCATTCTGAATGTAAAAATAAAGAAAAAAAAAGTGCAAGACTTTCAAAATGATTATTATTATTATTATTATTATTGTTGTTGTTGTTTTTTTTTGTAGCCAAAAGAGAAGAAAAAAAAAGAAAAAACTATCATAGTCTTATCATTTTCTTAGTTGATAATTTCTGCATATAGTTTAGGGTAATTTTAACGTAAGACTGCAAGAACATCGTAAAGCAGTAACAGGGGGAAACAGAAAAATCAGGCATAGCTGACCACATAGGGTGGGAAAAGGGAATTTGGCTTGGTTTGTTTTACGGCATATCAACCTCAATGGGTCATTTAATGCCGACAACTTTTTATTTCCGGTAATATTTTTGTTTGGTCAAAAATCTATTTCTGTTTATATTTTTTCCTCGAAAATGTAGAGCTGGTAATATTATTTTTTTCAAAAACGTATTATCAGAGGCCTTGTTTTTGGACGTACTTTATCGTTTTACCCAGGATGCGGATGTAGTTTATCGTCATACCCAGGACGTGGATGTAGTTTATCGTCTTACCCGGGAAGCGGACGTAGTTTATCGTCATACTCAGGACGCGGATGTTATTTATCGTCATACCCAGGAGGCGGATGTAGTTTATCGTCTTACCCAGGAAGCGGACGTTGTTTATCGTCATACCCAGGACGCGGAAAAAGGATGAGGTTGAAATAATAGACAGAGAACATCACTAGAAAATACGAAAACTTAAAGAATCAGCACATATTCTAGCCCACAAAAATCTCCTGAGCCGACCAAGCATAGAAATGAATACAATATGGGAACCAATGATAAGGAGTTCGAGAGAAAAGCAAAGAATAACAACAAAAATTGCAATATAAGCTCTGGTAAAAAAAAATGCGATAATAATAACAAAAATTGCAATATGAGAACTGGTAAAAATGTTTGCTGACACATTAGGATTATAAGTGCTAAAAAAATCAGACGCAAAAGTCCTCAAGGACACATGGCCCAGTGGATAAAGGCGTTGTGTTGTGATTAGACCCAAAGAGTTGTGAGTTAAAAACTTGGAGAATTGAGTTAAAGGGAAATAACTGAGACATTCGGAAGAGGCATGGCACGTAGAAATAGAACAATCTACCCCGGTTGACGAAATAAAGGGTTCGGTTCGATATTCCAATCACCTGTTCCATTTATAGGAAGGCTGCAGCGTACAAAAGGCTGTGACTATGACAATGAGGATCACAGGCCGAATAATACGACTAATCGTAATACCTCAGTGATATAGACGGGTAATTTTAAATCATTTTTCCTGATGTGCTTTTTCCATAATATATGAGCGAGTCTGTGTAGGGCTCAGAATCGGAGCGATTGTCTCATTTATTGCACAGCTCCGACCTTTTGAAGCCAATGACAATCGAAGGTCCCGCCCCAAACCAGACACCCTGACCATTTCAAAGTTCGTAGAGCCAGAAAGGATCAAAAGAAACAAAAAAGATCAAAAGCTACAAAAATTAATCCACCATTTTGAGATTTTTTGGCTCTTGAAGGATGAAAGAGAACTGAAGAGACTAAAAAAAAAAAAAAAAAGAGAGAGTGAGATAAATTGAATATTTTGACGAAAAAAATGTAATCGTCTCTTCAAACCAAAATTTGCTGTAAAAGAATGAAAATTTAACAAAGGGTAAAAAGCCGAAAAACTCAGTTTTGGTATTTGCGACAAATTTTAATAACAACGCCGCAGCATGCGATGGTGTTGATGATGGTGAGGAAGACATCAGGGTGAAAAGGAAGGCGAAAAATACAGAAAGCGGATAGCATCAAGAAAACGATGAAGCAAAGGAAAAAAGACTGTAAAGAATAGAGTGAGAAGAATGAAAAGAAAATGTTAAAGGTGGCGAAGAAAATAGGAAAATGGGAGGGGCATGATTCTATGATAGGAATTAAGGGAATAAATACCATGAGTGTTTCTATTAAATGAGAAAGAAAGAAAAAAAGAAAATGAAAAAGAAAGAAAGAAAGGAGACCCTTGTAAGGAAGGAAGGAAGGAAGGAAGGAATATAAATGACTGAAAGAAAGAAAGAAAGAAAGAAAGAAAGAAAGAAAGAAAGAAAGAAAGAAAGAATGATTAATTAAATAGGCTTAGATAAAAGATGGAAAGAACGATTTGGAGTAGAAAGAAAGAAAGAAAGAAAGAAAGAAAGAAAGAAAGAAAGAAAGAAAGAAATGAATAAATGAACAGCCTTTGAAAAATGAAGGAAAGAAAGATTTGGCGAAGAAAGAAAGAAAGAAAGAAAGAAAGAAAGAAAGAAAGAAAGAAAGAATAAAAGATGATAAAGAAAAGAAATCCACTGAATAAAAACTAAGAGCAAGAGAAGGAGATGACGAAAGAAAGAAAGAAAGAAAGAAAGAAAGAAAGAAAGAAAGAAAGAAAGAAAGAAAGGCAAAGGCAAAATCGTGATTGAGAAAGAAGTGAAAACGAAGCATGGAGAAAGAAAGAAAGAAAGAAGGAAAGAAACAAAAAAGAAAGAAAGAAAGAAAGAAAGAAAGAAGAAAATTTCGATTTAGATTAGAAAGAAAGAAAGAAAGAAAGAAAGAAAGAAAGAAAGAAAAGTTCTATTTAGATTAGAAAGAAAGAAAGAAAGAAAGAAAGAAAGAAAGAAAGAATAAGTCTGGAAAAGAAGAACTTGATTCGGAAAACTAAGTAAGAAAGAAAGAAGATAAAAAAGAAATAGAAACAAAAAGAAATTAATGAATGGATGAACATTTTGAACAATGGAAAGAAAGAAAGATTGAAAGAAAGAAACAAGATAGAAAGAAAGAACGAAAAAGGAATATACCCTTATTAACTTTATTTTTGCTTATTTTTTTATTTTTTATTTCATTAGCAAAATATCATTCTGGAAGCAAATTCTATGAAACAGAACATGAAGAAAGAAAATAGAATTGTCTGTAAAGAAAATCTGTTTTTTACGGCTTATCAACCTTTTACAGAAACTTATTTTTTAGATGATAAGAATTTTTTCTTTTTAAATAATAATTATTTACTGATAATTAACTCAACGCTTGGGGTAACAGAGGTGGATTCCTACCTTTCCCGATGATAGTTTTGTGTAAATGAATATAACGAACCCGACTGGAATTGGAACACGGCTCTCCGATTTTCAATTCTGAACCATTATCCATTATACCACCTGCACATCCAAGCTTACGGCAGCTCCTATTCCCAAACGGTTACCCATCTCAGTAATGACCAGGTTGGACATTGCTTAACTTTTTTCAACGTGAAATGCCCTCAAGACTCAGAATAAGAAAATAAAATATCAGATTGAATGATTTTTTTACGGCTTATCAACCTTTTGCAGATTATTTAAAGTTAGAAAATACTTTTAGATGGTAAGAATTTGGTGTGGGGATAGTCATGATTTGCTGATACAAGTCCTTATAGGGGAGAAGTGGATTCATGCCTTTCCCAAGGCTATTTGCGTATAAGTAAATATAATGAACCCGACTGGACTTGGAACTCGGTATTCCAATTTAAAATTCTGAGTCGTTATCCAGCACACCGCCTTCGCATCTAACATCTGGCATTTCCAAGCGGTCACCCATCAAATTACTGACTAGGATTGATATTGCTTAACTTCGGTGATCGTACGAAGACATTCTCAAAAAAAAAAAAAATTAGATTAGATGTGGCTCAAGGCCATATCAGTCATAATAGGAGCGCTTGGAATGATAAAAAAAGAACACAACAACTCATTGAAAAAAATCCCTGGAAATCCCAGCTCAAGAGAAATACAAAAAACTTGTCTTGATAAGTACAGCCCACACACGAAGAAGAAATGTCTCCATGTAACTCTAGTGATGTTATGTGAGTTAGAAAAACAAATCATGAAATGTAGCCATAACAACACACCACTACAAGCCTTTGGTTTTCGCACAGACTTGGTAATTAGTGTGACCATAGAATAAATCGAAATATAACAATAATAATAATAATAATAATAATAATGACCAAACTAATTGCTCAGACATCGTTATTAGAGAACGCAAACAAAAAAATGCCTCCTTATTGACATGGCAGTCCTTGCAGACTGCAATGCATCTTTGAAGATCTTCAAAAAGCTATCAGAATACAAGGACTTTGAAATCGAAATCTCAAAAATGTGACATATGGAAACATCAACAATCCCTTCGGATTGGTTGGAAAAGATTCCAGTAGACTCATTAATGGGATTCCTGGAAGTCCATGCCTTAAAGAAATACAAAAAAATTGTTCTCACGAGTACAGCTCAAACCTTTATCTATGTAAATTTTGTGTATTTTTTTTTTTTTTTACACAGTGGAAAATGTCATGATGCTATTTCTGAATTTAGGTCTCTGGACGGGACCCGGAAAGAAATGTGTACATAACAGAAATCAAAGGAACTATAATAATAATAATAATAATAATAATAATAATAATAATAATAATAATGGCAGGTTTAACACCATCACCTCGACTACGATGAGAGTAAATATGGTGAACACAGATTCTTGGAATATGGAAGAACCTGTAGTTCCCTGGAAATATGCCAAAGAGCTGTTACTGGACTTTTGTAAACGTATTTCGCAATGACATCACTGTCAACGATTTCCGTGATTACGTTGATAATGTAACGAGAAATTACCATAAACATGTACCCCAAATTATTCAAAGTGCTAAAAGTGTAATTAATACCGTTGTTTGTTTGTGTGTGTATGAATGCGTGTGCATACATCTATCTATCTATCTATCTATCTATCTATCTATCTATCTATCTATCTATCTATCTATCTAGTGCATTTCAAGTCTTCCTCTATCTATCTATCTATCTATCTATCTATCTATCTATCTATCTATCTATCTATCGCAGTCTGTCCATTATCTATCTATCTATCTATCTATCTATCTATCTATCTATCTATCTATCGCAGTCTGTCCATTATCTATCTATCTATCTATCTATCTATCTATCTATCTATCTGTCTGTCTGTCTGTCTGTCAGAAAACCGTTTGTTTCTATCACACTGTTTCTATCTATTTATCTATCAGAATCTGTTAGTTTCTCTTTCTCTCTCTCTCTCTCTCTCTCTCTATATATATATATATATATATATATATATATATATAATATATATATAAGCGAACATTGAAGTCAACACTTAGAGGCGACAGACTGTTCAATGTTAAAAACAATCATCTAATTGAATATTGACCTAATGTGCGTTTATCATGAAACAGCCTCTGAGTGTTGACTTCACTTTTATATTTATATTTACATACGCTCTGTTTCTGATATTGAGCACTTTATCCTATAAATTTGGTACACCTTAAAACTATATTTCTCTATGATACCATTTCTGACCTTGGGTCTCTGGTTGGGCCCCGGAAAGAAATGAATATACACCAGAAATCAATGGATATAAAATACTACTACTACTACTACTACTACTAATAATAATAATAATAATAATAATAATAATAATAAGAAGAAGAAGAAGAAGAAGAAGAAGAAGAAGAAGAAATAGCTGGTCTAACACCATCATCACGACTCGATGAGAGTATAGTGTTTTTCCTTTCTTCTCTTTATTTAATAATAATAATAATAATGATAATTATGGCAGGTCTAACACCATCACCACTACTACGATGAGAGTACAGTCTTTCTCCTTCCCTCTCTTTATTTAATAATAATAATAATAATAATAATAATAATGGCAGGTCTAACACCATCACCACTACTACGATGAGAGTACAGTCTTTCTCCTTTCCTCTCTTTACTTAATAATAATAATAATAATAATAATGATGATGATGATGGCAGGTCTAACACCATCACCACTACTACGATGAGAGTACAGTCTTTCTCCATTCCTCTCTTTATTTAATAATAATAATAATAATAATAATGATGATGATGATGGCAGGTCTAACACCATCACCACTACTACGATGAGAGTACAGTCTTTCTCCATTCCTCTCTTTATTTAATAATAATAATAATAATAATAATAATGGAAGGTCAAACACCATCACCACTACTATGATGAGAGTACAGTCTTTCTCCTTTCCTCTCTTTACTTAATAATAATAATAATAATAATAATAATAGAAGAAGAAGAAGAAGAAGAAGAAGAAGAAGAAGAAGAAGAAGAAGAAATAGCTGGTCTAGCACCATCATCACGACTCGATGAGAGTATAGTGTTTCTCCTTTCCTCTCTTTATTTGATTATAATAATAATAATAATAATAATGGCAGGTCTAACACCACCACCACCACTACTACGATGAAAGTACAGTCTTTCTCCTTTCCTTTCTTTCATTTAAGCAAATAAACTGCTTCGTCGTCATCCCATATTCAATTTCGGATGACGTGTTGCTTTTTCGTAGAAGCCATTTGTCAATGATAAACATCATTAAAGCGTCG